CTCCGACTAATATCATGTAGCGTTTGATAAAGCATCATTAACGGCCAGTAAGTGCGGCTCTCTTCTGCTTTCTAATTTGAAATCGTTGCCTATCAGCTAATGGGTATTTCATGGATTATATTCTATTGATAATGCCTGAATCTCAATGATAGAAACGTATATACAAATATTGTAAAAATTCGTTATGAAATTAATATTAAGAAGAAAAGAGATGGAATTAATGTAGAAAAGATCGATGATGAAACATCGTAATAATTAATTCATGAGCTTAATGAATCTAGTCAGGGTAATGATAATGAGATACCAATGATGGTAGGCCTTATCATATTATGTTCATGTGCTGATTCAATAAAGGTTTGACATGGTCTATTCAAATAGACCTATGTACTATTTTTCTTTCCCCATATGGGGAATCGAATTTAGTGCACATATGTCTTTGGCTCTAATACAAATGAAGTAACTCAAGATCATGTTTTCTTTTTTCATAGGCAAATATACTTATTTTCATTGCTTGGTTTTCATACAATCGCTACACTCTATTGCCGAGAGCTTTCAGTGAAGCTTGGTTTCCATACAATTGCTACACGCTGTCGCCGGCAGCTTTCGGTGATGCTGATTGGTCGGTCAGGTTGGGGAGCCTTCCGAATTGCGTCGGGGATTGCTACGCAGAACAACGATTGCACCGAAAACAATAAGCGACGGTGTAGCGATTTTATGGAAACAAGGCTTATGACTAATGGTGATTGATCGGTCGAATCGGGGAACCTTCCCGATTGCGTCAGGGACTGATTTTTTTTTTGTGCATTATACGCTATACAAGTGTAACATTAATATTATTATTATTATAATCATTCTCATCATTTATCGTCATTCATCGTCATCGTCATCGTGACACCATCATCATCGTCATCATCATCAATCATCGATGATGATGACGATAAATCTAAATATTTAATTATATGTAATAAATAGGCTTACTTTAATTAATTAATTTATTATATATTCATTTTAATATATTTATAGATAATACAAAGCATGACGCAATAATAACATTTGTTGAATTGGAATCAATCGTGTTTTTAAGTAAGTAACCCACAGTAAGTAATCAAATAAGAAAAAAAAAACGCGCGAAAAAACATTCAGCAACGATAATGGCGCGAAATACAACATTTATTAGATTGCATGGCCAGTTTGATCGTTCTTTTTACGCGCAGAATAAAACACATTATTAGTCCCTCATTTGTCATTTCCTATTCCTTGTATACGAGTCTATTTTGATATTTTGCATTTACAAAGTTATGTTACATGACCGGATGAACTTGAATATAATTAAGGGCTAGTTGATTTTTAAGATTTCCCGTCATGCAGTTATAAGCTGTGACGTCGTCTTATTTTATCTTGTTTTTTTTTAAAGGAATTTAAAAGATGAATAGACTCAATGACGCAAAGATATTTCGAGAGTGAAACTCAGTCATGCTGAATATATGCATTTGGTGCTATGGCATGAGCAGATAGGTGGTTATATTAATTCCACCTCTTTCTTACACATATCTGTTCAACATTACTTTGCACGGTATTCGTTTTCTTTATTCTTAATATGGACAATGAATGTTCGAAATAAATGTTAAATTGAATTGAATTATGTGTAGTCTTGCACTTGTTCCAGACAGGTGTTTGCATGCAATTTTACTCCACACATTCTTGCACCCCTAAAAAGAAACTAATCCACAACCCTTTACAATGATTAGGTCATTTTTGTCGTCAAATTAGACCATAATGTTGTATCAATTCTGCGACCAGTCTTATTATTTTGAAATACAATGTATGCACTGTAAAAACATCGTGGAGCATTTGAACACAAAGCTCCACACAATGTTGTCCCGTTTTTGGTGACACGTTTAAAAACAAATCAATCTTTTTTTTTTATAACAAACGTGTATGTTTGGAAAATTAATGTTCTAACATTGGAGCACGAATCATTCTCAGTTTCAACTATCACCAGCTTGATCGCTTAGAGTTAAAAAGTTGATAATAGTAAGAGATTAATGGGATATATTGACGTATAGCAAGTAAGCTGTTGTAGGGCTGCCATGCAAACATTGTCCGGTCCAAAAATGGTTTTTGGACCCCTGGAACCATTTGTTCTGACATGCCAATTAAAGTTGATAAACGGTGGCTGGTCTGTTGAGGAAGTACTGTGTAAACCGGTATGGTTTTTATCCGCCTGCCTATAAACGAACGAACATTTACAAACAGTAAAATGTTAAATATCCTGTTTAGACTAAATATATATTTTCCGAGAAAATCAACAAAGTTTAAATTTAACAGCCTGCAGTAAAGATACATTGCCTATGTTAAACGTTATCAGGACATTCACCTAGGCCTAAACAATAAATCATTGAATAGCGCGGAACACCCTTCTACATTGAACTCTATGAATGCTGAGGAAGACCCACCAACGTAAAAAGATGGAGAAACAATAAAGATTATGCAAATATTAATACTAATCCTAACGATACAAGTATTGAATTTCATTCGAGACGTTTATTTGTAAACGTAAATAGGTCACGCCGAAACTCGAAATTTCTATTCTATTCCATTATGTAGTTTCTACAAAGAAATAGTTAGGGAAAAAATGAAAAGAAAGGAAAAGAAAATATTATATAGCAAATATTAATACTAATCCTAACGATACAAATATTGAATTTTATTCGAGACGTTTATTTGTAAACGTAAATAGACTTGAGTTGAGATCTTGGTGGAGATGTATGCGCTATAAAAATCAGTACATTTAAAGTAGGCCTACAAATATCAGGAGGCAATCCCTTACACAAACAGATACGTATTATATGATTTATTAAGCAATAGTTACTCGCTATAAATTTTAAATGGTAAGTGATATAAGTTAATCATCACTATCATCATTTATAAGTTACAGTACTTGTATAGTTCGAAGAACAATACAGAAGCCACGCATGAAATTGTTAGCCCAAGCCCTAACGGGACTTTGAAAATAAAATTCGCCGAAAATTATATTTTCCTACTTTCATACTACAGCATTATCCTTTTCTCATTACTTATTTATTTTAAATGTATTATTATAGGAGCGCCTTTGTATCCCTAGGTAAAAATGTGCTTTATTCTTTTTATCATGATGCTAGCCACGAACAGCCCACCGGATGCACATGATGCCTACGAACTCCATGTGCCGCGGCGACTGCTTAACGGAGTGCGAAAAGACGACATCGAGACGTGACGGCAGAGTGATGAAAAGAAATACGCACATTAAAAATTTAAAAAAATAATTTAAAAAAAAACGGATTACAATAAATAAAATTTACTTTGTTAAATGCCGACTATATGAAAGATAATAAGTGAGTGGGAATACTAAGCACCAACTTTTTAATTTAATTTAATATATTTTTATTGTGTTTCAAAGGACAATTTTCATTTATTATATAGGACCTATTTGACAATATAAGTTCTTTGTTTTTTAAATAAATTGAAAAGAATTACAATAATTTAAAAATTTTCAAACGCAATTCACGGTAGAGTAAACATTCTATATCTATTTTTACTCTTTTTTCAAAGGCAGAATTTATTATTAATAACAAAACAATACCGAATTTACATTTCAAATATTTCGTGAGAAAAGTGAAATATCAACAGAAGCACAGTAGAGAAGATGTCACATTAATATAAGTAATTTTAATGCAGTTGTTATTGATTGATTAGTATTTATGATTTCATCCGTGCTATGTGACAAGGTTGGTCATCGCAAATTGATATACATTGGAAATTAGCAGGAGTTCAAAGCAGACTGACCGTGTACTCAGCAAACGACGCTTGCTCTGCGAACACAAGGCTGACTGTACAGGCCGACGATCGACGAATCTTTCAGCGCTCACGATCCACCGCGCGCTTCGATGCGTTGTGGCCGAATTTCTCGTCGGCCTACCGTCAGCGACCTATTTCTCTACATTGTAGTACGTCTGTAAAGGGAAGTACATCTGATCATTAAAGAAATTGACTCTTAAGTTCACAAATAATTAAAAAATATACTGCCTGTCATGAGCTAAACAAACTTCAAAATTTAATTCTATATTTGAATTGTTTAATTGTTTGTACTGCTGTCGTACGGCTTAGGCCTACAATTCCAACTCCGCTAGGTGCAAGCGCTTGACGACGAGACGTCGTCTGCTGACTGTCGGAGTCAGTCTGAGCGGATCGTAATTAAAAATGATGCGTTGCGCGTGTGCCTCATCGCGCTACGTTCTCAATCGCGTTGGCCGATGACCGTTGGCGACCACCCTACTGTAGGCCTAAGCTACCACTGCAAAAATGTTGTAGGCCTATCCACTAGTATGGTCTACATCTATAAAGTCTACAACTGTTATGAGATGTGTACACTTCTATAATTAATTGGATTTAAGATGGTTAATTAGCCAGACTAATTTCGTGAACCTGTTCTACAGTAACCATCCGTCACGATCCTCCAGTTTAATTTATGGGTTTAATGCTCTACTACATACGAATTCAAATATAATGATAATAATGGCTGATTAAATTAGGCCTTGATATATTAATAATATTAAATCGTTTTACGAAATTAAATTGGCTTTGAAAATATAACTTAACCTGATTAAAAACTTAAAGTGATTACCAGGTTTATATTTTGTAATAATGTTTGTATTGTGTGCTGTGGTGAAATTATTTCATTTTTTCATAGTTATTAATCATATACATTGCTACACAATGCGAAACATTTTATTCTACGTGAATTTGGTCGAAGGAAGCTTTCTTAGGGAAGCCAGACCAGCGCGTGTAAATACTAGCAACTTTCCTTGTCACCTGATTGGTTCGTTTGCAACTTAGCAATTTAAAGCCGATCGATGATTGGCCATTCACTATGTTATCGCAAGTAAGCTGTGCTCTTGTCACTTTAAAGTGGAGACAGAAGTGCGCATGCGTGTAACAGGTTCCTAATGAATATATGAGAACTGACCAGGTGCCTTTGCCTATACAGATCTATCGAACTGTTTCCAAAAGGGGTTCAACGTATATTTACCTCATCGAAATAAGAGTAAACTGTTTGGAGGAAATATTTTTTATCGTGCCCTAAATCGACCATTTTACCTTGTGTCTTCGACGCGTTTCTTCAGCGTCTGAGATGCTGAACCCAAAGGACCATATTGCGATGCATACGCTTCACCCAGGCTTAACGACGACGCCAAAATACGCGCAAATTCACCACCGCCATGATCGCACGCAAGACTTCATGCGAAGGCACTGCATGAACCCATCATCGGTAAGTTTTATACATTACATTTTTAATGCATTTTATTATAGAATTTGCTGAAAAAGTTGCATGTGTCAGCTCTATTGGTCACAGAAACGATGTATTAATCGGAGTATTAATGCAAGTCACAATTTTAGGTCAAATCGTTCATTCGTTTCAATTTTATATTGCCTTTCGACAAATAATAACAATAATCGAGAGGAAATCATAATCTAAAAAACTGCATTCACATTTATTTAAAATTTAAAAAAAAAATGTGTACACGAATAGGAATTACTAACGTGAAAGTGTTACACAGGCGATCGATCGTGGATCGTTGATATAAACAAACTTAAAAGCAATTATATATTCATTAGTTAAAGGAATACCCCTACCTATACCTCGTACATATTTTATGACAATTGTACTGAGTGTGTGAGTATGTGTATTTGATGTATTGCTAGTGACGAGACGCGTCCTCCGATCGAAGAACTCATCAGCGACCGTCCACACGCAATTGATATCAAACCTTCGCGGATTGACAAGAGTCGCGTTTTGCTCTTTAAAAATCTGATAAAATTACGATCTTCTTTATAGGGAAAAATATTTAAAATATATATTCGTCCTTCTCAACGAACTGCGTATTTTTTTTTCAATAGAGGTTGTCATGATTATGAATAATATCTTAAATAATATCTCTCGTAGAAACATTTGAGACAGAACTAGCTGTATTAACCCATCAATGTTATTATTATTATTATTATTATTATTATTATTATTATTATTATTATTATTATTATTATTATTATTACATTTGAATTTTTGAATCTGTGCTAGGATTAGGCCGATGGAATTCAGCATTAGCAGATGTGTGATTCAATAATGATTAAAGTTGATGCTATGCATTCCTATTAATATGTATCTCTGTGGTTTATGCTTAAACGTTTAATCAATATCTACACTTACGTATATTAGTATATATATATTATATATATATATATATATATACATAAATCAT